GGGAAAATTCGATTATCATGTACGTATTGGGGGAAGACCTTAGTATGCACTCGGTAAAGAATTTCATGACAAAGAATTGGAACAATGTTCAGTTACCTAACATCCTCTACCATGAAGAAGGGTATTTCATACTCAGATTTCGTACCAAAGACGCGATGGAAACAATTCTAATGAAGGGGCCTTACACCCATAGAGGAATGCCTATGATCCTAAAAGAATGGAGGAAGGGTTTCAACCTAAAGAAAGACATGATGAGAACCATCCCAATCTGGGTGAAATTCCCCATGTTACCCCTTCACCTTTGGGGTAAGTCCAATCTGAGCAAACTAGCAAGTGCCATTGGAGTACCTTTGGTGACAGACGAATGTACTGCTAGCAAACTACGGGTATCCTATGCAAGAGTTCTAATAGAGGTTGATATCACTCAGAAACTGATAGAGGAAATTAGTATAAAGGAAAAGGAGGGTACCATGGTTACTCAAAAGATAGAATATGAATGGAGGCCTAAATACTGTGAGAAATGCCTAACTGTGGGTCACAACTGTGAAATCAGAGTTAAACAAAATGAATGGAGACCTAAGAAGAGACAACCACTTGAAGCAGCTCAAAGTAAGGAATCAGTCAATTCCTTGGCCCAGAAAGTTCCTGAGATGGAAATAACTACTGCAACTGTGTCTAATCCAACAGGGAAGGAGCCTGAAAGAAGGAAGCAGGGTGTGGGAGCAGATTCAAAAGGGGAAGGGAGCTGGATCTCTCAAAACAAACAGGGGAAATGCAGAAGTCCTAGGAAAGGCCAGCATGAAGATGCAATAGCTTTACTATGTGAGAATGGCTATGGGGTACTAGGGACTTTGAATGAGCCTCTAGTATTGGATAGAGGACCATGATAGTTTCATGGAATGTTAGGGGGCTCAACAAGCTGGGGAAGATAAAAGAGATAAGCTCCCTTCTCTTACATCTTCAACCAACCATTAGCATCTTGCTTGAAACTAGAGTGAAAGAAAATAAGGCAAAGAAGGTCAGAGATAAGCTAAATATGCATAGGTCATGTATTGATAACTACTCTGCCCACCCCAATGGTCGAATCTGGATTTTATGGGATGATACAAAGGTTGATCTGAGGCTGCATAGTATGTCTAGTCAACACCTTCACTGTGGCATCCACACAGTCACAGGGGATTTTCTTTTCTGGCTTACTGCAATATATGCCTTAAACCAACTGGACATGAGAAGAATTCTTTGGAGAAAGCTGGAAAATATCCACTCTGCCCAAGCTGGCCCTTGGTGTGTCATAGGGGACTTCAATAATGTGGTTACAGCTAGGGACAAAATTGGTGGAAAAATGGTGAGTGATTATGAATTTGCTGATATTGCTAACATGATGAGAATTACTGAGCTGTATGAAATGGATAGTGTGGGGGACCACTTCACCTGGTCAAATAAGCATGTTACAGGTACAATATATTCTAGGATTGATAGGGCAATCTGCAACACTGAATGGTTCCAACTGTACCCTGAGCATGTACTGAGTGTTATGCCTCCAAATGTTTCTGACCATTCCCTGCTCTTTATCAGTGGGCCTACTGAGGATAAAAGAAGGAATCATTTTAAATTCAACAACTACCTCATTGATATCAGTGGTTTCAAAGAAATGGTCAAGGTTTCCTGGGATAAACCAGCCTGTGGGGACCCTATGCAGATTCTCTGGTACAAGCTCCAAAGGCTAAAGGAAGATATCAAAAACTTCAGTAAACAGATTGGCAACCTAAAGCAGAGGCTGCTGGAAGCAAGGGAGAAGTTACATAAGGCCCAAACTGAACTCCAAAATAACAGGCAGGATGGAATTCTGATAGAGCAGATCAAAACCCTTACTGAAGACATCATCAATCTGCATGATCATGAGGAGAATAGGTTGATTCAAAGGGCGAAAATTGACTGGATAAAAAAGGGAGATGGCAATAACAAATTCTACTTCTCACATATCAAAGCAAGACAGAAAAGGAATTATATCAAATTCCTGCAGAATGATAAGGGGGATGTCATTACAGGGAAAAACAACATTGAAAATGAGGTTATGACCTTTTACCTCCATCTGCTAGGAGAGACCCCTAACCAAACCAAGCATATTGATGTGGAAGCTATGAGAATGGACAGGCAGATTCTGACTGATCAAAAGAGTAACCTTGTCAAATGTGCTTCTGTCCAGGAGATTGAAGATGCTTTAAAGAGTATTGGTGACAACAAATCCCCAGGCCCTGATGGCTTTACTGCAAAGTTCTTCAAAAGCTTTTGGGAAATTCTGCAGAAGGATGTGATTACAGCAGTCGAGGAATTTTTCAGAACTGGTAATATCCTCAGTAACTTTAACAGGACTCTAGTAACCCTTATCCCTAAAGGAGACAGTGCTATTGGCATCAAGGACTACAGGCCTATTTTTGGGTGCAATGTATTTCTTAAAATTATTTCGAAGATCCTTACAACAAGATTAAAGAAGGTCTTGCCTTCAGTTATAAACAAGAATCAGGCAGCCTTTGTCTCAGGCCAAGACATTCACAACCACATCCACTTAGCTTATGAACTTGTCAAAGGTTATGATCGGAAACATGGTACACCAAGGTGCATGCTGCAAATCGACCTTCAAAAGGCTTATGACATGGTTGAATGGGGTGCTCTAGACAGTATTATGAGGGAACTGGGATTACCTACCAGATTTGTCCAATGGGTCCTCACTCTGATTTCAACAGTATCCTATACCTTCAATATCAACGGTAACCTTTCGAATATTCTGCAGGCTAAGCGAGGTATTAGGCAGGGGGGCCCATTGTCCCCACTTTTGTTTGTGCTTATGATTGAGTATCTAGATAGGTGCTTGGTGAAAATGCAAAGAAATCTGAATTTTAATCATCACGCAAAATGTGAGCAGATGGCGCTGACTAACCTGGCTTTTGCAGATGACATCCTCCTTTTCTGCAGAGGGGGTGCTGGGTCTGTGGACATTCTTATGACTGCATTTAGGAATTTCTCCCTCTCTACTGGCCTTATCTTTAACCCTCGCAAATGTAACATTTTCTTTGGCAGTGTGGAGTTGACAGAGAGAAACAATATCAGGACAAGAGTTGGGTTTGCAGAAGGAAGCTTCCCTTTCCGCTACTTAGGGGTTCCACTCAGCAGCAAGAAGCTTAGTCTGCAGCATTACCTCCCCCTAATTGCGAAAATTACTGGGCGTATCCACCACTGGTCTACCAATCTGCTCAGCTATGTCGGACGTATTCAACTTGTTAACAGCATTATTTGCTCTATTACACAGTTCTGGATGCATAACTTCCCCCTTCCGAAGTGTGTGCTCGGGAAAATTGACTCTATTTGCAGGATTTTTGTTTGGACTGGCAGGAATGATCCTAGCCATAAAAGTTATGTTGCTTGGAAGAGTATGTGTAAACTAAGGAAGCAAGGAGACTTAAGTATCAAGAACCTAACGGTTTGGAATCAAGTTGCCTTACTTAAGTGCCTTTGGAATATTAGTAATAAGAGTGACAGTCTGTGGGTCAAATGGATTCATAAAGTGTATATGAAAAATTGTGATGTAATGGAAGTTTCTGTGGGGACAAGTTGGACATGGAACATTAAGAGCATTTTGAACCTTAGAAGCAAGGTCACTCAAATCCAACACCTTTGAGACCAAATGCTATCCAACACCTTTGGGACCAAATGCTTCTCCATCAGAAATTTTCAATGAAAGCAGTTTATAACGCGCTTATTGATGACTTGAGTAGAAGTACTTGGAGTAAGCTCCTTCTACATAACCACGCTAGACCGAAAGCCAAGTTTACAGCATGGTTGTTGTGTCATGGGAAGCTCCCAACCAAGGATAGGTTGGTGAGGTTTAGTATAGTTCAAGATAGCTTGTGTAGTTTGTGTGAGAAGGAGGAAGAAAGTGCGAACCATCTTTTCTTTAGCTGTTCCAAAACTATTACTGCATGGATGACAACTTTAAATTGGTTGGGGGTAAGCCACAAACCTCTTCTCTGGGAGGATGAGCTGAAGTGGATTCTGGCTAGTACTAAAGGTAAGGGCTGGCGGACAACAGTGCTCAAAACGGCGTTTACAGAAACAATTCATGAAACTTGACTGCTTAGGAATGCCTCTATTTTTGATAACATTACTTTTAACAACAATACGGTAGAAAGAATTATTGATTGTATAGTGTATAGATGCTGGGAAAATAGGAAGATTAGGCCTAATATTGTTAGACTAATGTGCTAGTTTTTTTGTAGAATTAGATGGCTGAACCTGATGAGGTTGCCTTGATTGTATTGATCCCTTTTGAATTAATATATCAGTTTTGGTTCCAAAAAAAAATCAAGTAACTCACCTAACTCACTAATTTAAATTACATTTCAACACTGATTGTACTATTAAACCTATCTATCTAATTAACCAATGTTTTACATCAGGAGTCTTCATAAAGGATTGAAATATAAAATAAAGAATTGGAGCAATGAGTTTTTACATGTTGGCAAAATGCAAAATGAAAGGAAGAAAAGAACTTCAAGATTAGATGCATATATACAAAGTTCATTGGTAATAAGAGTGTTAAATTAGTGGAAATCTAGTCAAAAGATTTAATGTTGTCATACTCATACTTATATACAAAACGTTGTTCTTCATGTGATCACCTCCGCCGACATGACAAAAACTGCTTGGTGGAGAAAAAAAATCGAAGGTTGTATCTAATATTCACAGCATCAAGCTTCAGGAAGAAGTCCTAACAAAGGTTCTGAATTCTGATTAATCAAAGGAAAAAATAGTTGAAAACCCATTAAAAACTATCAAGCATTTAAGAACTCTTATGCTGGGAGTCTAGACATGTAGTGTGAAATAGAAAATCAAACTTACCTATATATAGTTCTACACTTCTACTAGTAATAGCACAGCCTTCTTCCATCCGCACCAGACAACGATGATTGACCAATGACTGTCGAAAAGCCCTATAATATTTATTAGACAGGGGGCAACTTCCAGAAGTTCCATGAATTGTAATCCTCCTGCAACCAATGTTCAGCAAGAACAACAAGGCCCAAAAAAAGTTACATCATAAACAAATCCTAACAGCATCAGAGAGAGAGAGAGAGGGAGGGAGAGAGAAACAAACCTGCTCATATGAGTTTGTAGGGGGAAACATTCCATTCACGAGAGTGTGAAGAGAAGTGTATGAATTTGTGTCTAAACACCGTCGGTTTATAGAAATCTTACCCTGAAAAGTTAGATATAGCTACATGAGATAACAAGTTTGGCAGAGCATATTCAAGAAATTTTAGTATTTATTTATTGGAAGATAATATCGGAGATTTTCATTACCTTGGGATTAATAATGAATATTTTTCCTTTTGGGATTCCAACCTTAAGGTAGCTGATTTCATCAGTATCTCTATTTCCAAAACCAGCATAGAACGGATTGCAATCAGGAGGAAAAAGTGCCCTGATGTCCTGGATGCATTAAAATTTGAGGTTTTAACATAACTATGACCATACTGAATATTTAAATCATGTGAAACGTAAAAATAGAAACCAAACCTCTAAACATGCAATTTTGAATTCGTGTGGAGCCCTGAGGATAACTGAATAGAAAGAAAAAATATATATATATCACACTGAAATATGGTAAAGATAAGATCAGGGCATTCTAGATTCAAAGTGTTGGAATTATTCCAATTATTGGAATTACAAATTATTGAAGTTATAATTCTGTATTTATGTGCATGTTCATGTATCTAGGAGTCTATGAATCTATGCCTTGTAAATTACATACATGTACCTAGGAAATATCTTCAATCTTATCCTGTAATTACTCTCTTGAAGTGTATATAATCAAAATCACTTGAGTGCTTTGTAACTCAAGCATTTCACCAAATATTCAATTTACAACATGGTATCAGAGCTCTCGATCTTGAGAGACTTGCTTCCGCATAAACCCTAGCCGTCTTCATACGGTAAGCCCTAAGTCACCTTCATTGTGACAACTTTTGCTGCCTTCATCTAGCCTTGTTACCCTTCATTGCCGTTTTTTTTCCTGTCCAAAAACACCTCTATTTGATCCTTTTTTTTGCTGATGTTTGGCTCGTTTTATTGCTGTTTTTTTTAGCTTGCTATAAATGGCTGAAAAAATTTCTGTTGATTACTCTTTATCATTCACCAAGGATGAGGTGAATCGTTTAAAGGCTATACTTGACTCTCTCAATATGCCTTCTGAAAGTTGTTCTCTACCGACGACCGGCTTGAGTGTATGCTCTCAATCCTTTAGTGTTTGCGGTAAAATCTCTAAGAATGCTTGGATTTTGGACTCTGGTGCCACCGACCATATGACATTCAATCCTAGTTTGATTTCCTCTTACACCTCTGAGAAGAACCGTTATGTTACGGTTGCTAATGGTTCTTATGCCCGTATTGATGGCTCTAGGAGTGTTAACTTGCAATCTTCACTTCAATTACAGAGCGTGCTACATGTTCCCGCACTCTCTCACAACCTAATTTTTGTTCGTAAACTCACATGTGATCAGAATTATAAAGTAATATTTTTCACTTCTTATTGTGTTTTTCAGGATCTTACCACGGGGAAGACAATTGGAGTTACTGAGGAAAAAGGAGGGTTGTACTACCTATCTGATGAACCAAATTGTTCGAAGGTGTTGGCTTCCTACTTACAGACTGAGTCTTCCGTGTCTTCTTCTCATTCTGCCGCACAAATTTGGCTTCAGCACAAGCGTTTTTGTCATCCACCATTCTCTTTAGTTAAGTCTATGTTTCCTTCTTTGTTTTTACATCATTCAGTAGAATCTTTTAAATGTGACGTTTGTGAGTTAGCTAAACATCATTGTATCTCTTTTATTCCTAGTTCCAATAGAAGTGTTGAACCTTTTGATCTCATACATTCTGATGTTTGGAGACCTGCACCTATTTCTAATATTTCAGGTGCTAAATGGTTTGTGTCATTTTTCCTTGCAGCATCATAGTTTTATTTCTGCAGTTGACTTTGTGGTCATTCCATCATCCGTTCAAGAGGCATTGAAAGATAGAAATTGGATCCAAGCGATGGATGAGGAAATGAAAGCTCTTGAAAAAAATGGAACTTGGGAGATTGCTGATAGACAGGAAGGCAAGAAACTTGTTGGTTGCAGGTGGGTTTATACAGTCAAACACAAATCAGATGGTACTCTTGATCATTACAAAGCTAGACTAGTGGCAAAAGGATACACACAGACATATGGCATAGATTATGAGAAAACATTTGCTCCTGTTGCGAAAATAAACACTGTTCAGATCTTATTATCTCTTGCTGCTCACTCCGGATGGGAATTACAACAATTTGATGTCAAAAATGCATTCTTGCATGGAATCTTAGAAGAGGTGTACATGGAGATTCCGCCGGGATTTGGCCCAACATGTGGATCCAACAAGGTGTGTCGATTTTTGGAAAGCCCTATATGGGCTAAAACAATCTCCTAGAGCACGGTTTGGAAGATATACAAAAGCAATGGTGTACTTAGGCTACAAGCAGAGCCAAGGAGATCACACGCTTTTATTTAAGCACTCGCATGAAGGAGAATTTACTATCCTTCTTGTTTATGTTGATGATATTATTATTACTATAGGAGATGACCTGACAGAGAAACAATTGCTAAAGGAAAAACTATCGGCAGAATTCGAGATGAAGGACCTTGGGAAACTCAAGTATTTTTTGGGAATTGAGGTTGCTTACTCAAACCAAGGCATTTTCATATCTCATAGGAAGTATATACTCGATCTCTTGCAGGAAACTGGGATGCAAACGTTCTAGTGTTCCCATAGAGCAAAACCATAAGTTGAGACTCGAAGAAGAAAGTACCAAAGTTGACAGAGTCCAATATCAGAGGTTCGTAGGAAAGTTGATTTACCTAGCACACACTAGGCCTGACTTGGTTTATGCTGTCAGCGTAGTGAGCCAATTTATTCATGACCCGAGAATGCGACACTTACAAGTTGTTGATCGCATCTTTCAATACCTCAAGGCTACTCCAGAAAAAGGATTGTTGTTCAAAAGAGGTGGAAACTTAACTATAAAAGCCTACATGATGCTGATTATGCAGGATCAATAAGTGATAGAAGATCCACTTCGGAATTTTGCACCCTCTTGTGTGGGAACCTTGTCACATGGAGAAGTAAGAAACAAAATGTAGTGGTTTGATCAAGCGCTAAGGCAGAATTTCGAGCTTTGGCTCAAGGAATCTGTGAGTTACTTTAGATGAGGGTCATTCTAAATGATCTGAAAATACAATGTGAAGGGCCTATGAAGTTATTTTGTGACAACAAGTCGGCAATCAGTATTGCTCATAATCTTATTCAGCATGACAGGACCAAACATATAGAGATTGACTGCCATTTCATCAAGGAAAAACTAGATACTGGTTTAATAGCTACGTCCTATATTCCTTCTGGATATCAACTAGCAGATGTGTTGACAAAGGGCTTGCCACCTTATTGTTTCAATCATTTTGCAAGTTGGGAATGATTGATATCTATTCTCCAACTTGAGGGTGTAGTGTTGGAATTATTGAAATTATTCCAATTATTGGAATTATAATTCTGTATTTATGAACATGTTCATGTATCTAGGAGTCTAGGAATCTATGCCTTGTAAATTACATACATGTACCTAGGAAATAGCTTCAATCTTATCTTGTAATTACTCTCTTGAGTGTAATAATCAAATCACTTGAGTGCTTTGTAACTTAAGCATTTCACCAAATATTCAATTTTACAACACAAAGCTTTGATCAGTTTAATACTTTGATTTACACAATAAAAAATGAATCGTATAATAGAACTTAAAAAAATGAGAAAGGTAAGCAAATTAAGGTCAAAATGCAATGTGACTTAACATGTAATTGACTGAAAGGGGATGTGTGAGGAAAACTAATAATGATAAGTTGACTGAATACCTTCTCTATATAAAGAAGGAAAAAGTCCGTCGGGGGAAATAACAACTGGACCATCTGGTAAGACTTTCCCGTCCTGCACAAAACAAACAGGAGAATGTAAACTGGCTTGTTTTTTGTTAGTTTCAATTTTGACTTATATTTCAAATTTTTGTATCACCTGGTTAAGGTTGAATAGAAACTGTCGGGTGTTATGTGCTTGAGAAATTGCACGAGCACTGAGAAAAAGTAACTGGTAGCCATTTTCCTGTGATGTGGAATAGACAAGGTAAAATTACATAAAGATGCACAAAATAAATAAATAAATAACACAAGAAGATAGTTGTTATTTGTTTCGAGACCACGTGTCTAAGACCCTAGCCTACACACAGTAATGCATGATCAATGTATTCAAGATTCAAAAACAGAACAAAGTATTACATATTATAATAAGCTCAAAACATCTGACGACACGTGTAAGATAAACAAACCTTGATATCTGAAAATAAATGAGCAACACCAGTCTGTGACCAGTCAATCCCAACTAAAGGCATGAACTGACCTAGAACATCTGACCTGTAAATCGTAAAACAAGAGAAAGAAATTAACATTATAGGATCATAAAGTAGAATTAAGCTTCAGAACAAAGGCATATATCTGGATATTAAAAATACTTGCAGGTATCAGTACCTTGTAATTGTTCCATCCACATCTGATATCACTATACGAGTATTCCATTTCCACAAAAATATTCGAGCATCAATCTAATATAAATGAAACAATGATAAAATAGGGATTTCAATAAGTTAAAAAAATACAAAAGGAGAAATGATAGGAAGTCCCTCCATATCTAACTATCTTAATCTTTGTCAGCAAACAATAATAACGAATAATTGTATCCATTACTAACCTGCCGCATCCCCATCATAGGTGTAGAGAAACCGAAGGTTATCGTGTTTCTCCCTTCCTTCAGATTCAAGGATGACAGTTGTTCAGACGTTGGAGTATTTACGCTAACCTTCTTAACAGAACGATCCCTTCTACCAATATTGACAGTCTGAGATTTTTGAAACTTTGCCCTGGTTCCAACATCCACAACATCACAAATACCACAACCCGTTACCGGCCTCTCGAGATGGACACTCGTAGTAATTCCCTCAGGTTTTCCACCCTAAACAATAACTATAATGTATTAATATCAACAACCAAAACAGAACACACTTTAAGTCTCTCATTAAGTAAAGGCTCTAACAATATCGAGAAATAAATTAGCATCATTTACCTCAGGTAGCTGCAGAGCTGTAGCGTGCAAAACCTCATCATGGACACGAACTTCTCCACATACTTCATTTGCAAGGTGAAAAACCTTACCAGATACAGTCTTGCCTTTCCCCTTGTCCAAGTTACCACCTCGAGTCTTCTTTCCTTCCCGATAGGGAAGTTCATCAAAAGTGAGATTAGTAGACCACCTTAAATCCAACAACTTCGCAGCAATTTCAGCACGCTCCACTAAATCTGCATCAACATCTTCACCATCACCACCATCAGAACTCGGCCCAAATACAAGCCTACACATTCTCGAACGGCGAGAACCAGTCCTATCTACAATCGGATCCTCAGAACGAAAGTTACAACTTTTCGACTTGAATTGCCTCTTATTACTACCTCTCACTTGAATATCATCATAACACCACATAGACTCTATCCCATCTTCTCCTTCTTCTTGTTCCTCTTGTCCTTCTTCTCCTTCACCATGTTGCGAAGAATTCCCATGAAGAAAAAAAGCGTCCCCTTTAGGACTCAAACACATATGAAAATCAGTTTCAACCCCATTAACACTAACACTAACCTTAACCTTCTCCCTCTTCGCCGCCTTCATAACCCATTGAAATTTTCCAAACCTAACATACCAAGGAGATGATTTAAAGCTCCCATCTTTCTGCTGAACAACAATAATATCAACAGCCCCCCCGAACGGAAGAAACGGCCCAGAAACATTGCACACACCGCGTCTTATGTAACCTCCTAACCTCCCCCAAGCTTGCATGTTGCTAAATTAACGTTGTTTCTGATAAACCTAAAAAAACACAATTGAATTTCCAAAACAACCTTAAAAATGAGTTTCTGGTAATTAAATTAAAAACAAAAAAAAACAAAGCATATTCGGTTTGAATTATGCGAATGTGCTAACACAAATTGATGAATTATTCATATGAGATAAGAGAATATTCTTAATCAAATTCAAATAATTTTGAATAAACATATAATAATACTTACGAGTAATAAATTAAGGTTTCATCTTTCAAGTATCAATCGCTGTCAAGATCTGTGAATGCAATGGAGGGACCCACCATTGATGATTTTTGGTGGATGAAGGAAGCTACGTCGGTGATAGCGACGGGAAGAAGACGACGACGACGCTTTTTGGAAATTGGGGGTTTGTGTGATTTTGTGCTACCACCATTACCGTTGCGGAATTTTCTTGTTGAGAAAAGTTTAAATATGTTTCTTTCTTTTTTTTTTCACCAAAGAGTTGAAAATAGGTTGACATGTTGAAACAGGATTAGGAGTAATTTTTATTTTTTTTCCTTTTTTCTTAGTAAAATAAAGTCCAAATTTATTTTGATTACCCATCTCAATTGAGACTTCGGTCCATACACATTTAAGAGATTGGTCTATCTAATAATTTACCTCATAAAAACTTAATTTTACTTTCTTTGATAAGGTATGTTTATAGTCTAACATCCTTTTGAAGTAAAAGAAATGAGGTTCCCTAAGTGATGATATCTCAACCGTCGATCTAAGACACTCAATTTGTTAAACTCTTTCACCACATTACTAGACTCCTTCACCTCACACTTTACTTCCACCACCACAACCTCATCTTTCTGTACTTTATTGTAACCTCACTTTTAGGTTTTTACACTATTACATCTTCTCTGAGACTTCCAAGTTTTGTTCGGTGCACTAAATATTACCGATCTCTTGTTAAATATTTTCAATTTGCTACAACAACAAGACGCGGGAGTACTTCACGTAGAAGAAAATTAGGAGAAGATTCCAATAGAAATTGCAATGCAATTAGAGGTTTTGCAACACAATCACTTAAGAGTTATCCTGATGGATGCTCATATCAATATGGTTGAAAGTGTCAAGAACTCGGGAGTTGTAAAGGAGGCATCCCCCTCGTCATTTTAACAATAATTCACTTATAGGTGATTATAATGGCGAAGATGAGAGTCGTAAACCAACTGAAGACCTTCGTTCAAAGGAGGGCTCCTTTTTATCACTGTCTGTATAGAAAACTCAAGAACAACTCCATCAAACAATTCTTTGCCCACCTTCGATGGAAGCATTTCACAAAATGTATCATAGAATGCCACATCCCTTAGTCTTTGGAGACGCCCTCAAAGATAAAAAATTATTATGGCGCTAGATGTAACACCCCAATTCTACCCGACAATTATTATAAAAATTAGAGTTACAAAATTTCCGACAACCGAATCACGATGCTACAATTACAACTTAAAACAACGACATTCATTACAGATACATAACACATTAAACTTAGATGAACCAACGACAACATAAATTAATCTTTTAAAACCAACAATTTCCATAACTATGCAGTGGAATCAAATATTCAACTGAAACAACTTCAAATAACAAGTATTTAACGAACATCAACTTAAAGTTCAATCAACTGAAATAATAACAACAATAAAACAGCAAGCATTCATCCCCCCCCCCCCCCCCCCCCCGAGTGTTATGTATCAGAACAATGACACTGACTCGAACTACTGAAGGTAAACTGCCTTCACTCTGGATTATCTGCACGTTACCAACATCGGGGTAACATTCAAACAGAAGGGGTGAGATATTGAACAATATAATCGGATGTAAGATAAATATTATATTAGAATCAGTTCATGCAAGATCACTATTTCACAACTTATAAACAAGAGTAATCACGACAAAACATAACGATTAATTCATCAACACAACAACTCAATTATGCAACGTGAAATGCGAATCGTTACGTATGCATATGGTACCAACAGAGTGTCGCAACTGGATTTTTAATCAGAGTCGCCACTATTATTTTTTATTCTAGGGAAGGGAATCTAAACAGAAAACTCTAATTCGCAGACAGAGATTCTAGGTTTCGGACTTCTTTAGACGAAAGGAGGTGTTAGACACATTTCATCTACCTTGTTCACAAGGATACTAGGTTTAGGTTTGAGTTGGGGTAAACGGGTTTTTAAATTTTAATTAGGAGGAACGGGTTTAAATTTTTTTATAGGGGAAAGAGTTTTAATTTTTAATAGGAGAACTCGCTACGATTTTTGATCGTATGCCTACGTATCCTCTTAAGAGGAATCAGAGTCTCAATTCGTAGTTCGTTGTGGGATTGGTGTTTTTTAGGGGTCACAAACGTACTTTGAATCACCTCACATTTTGACCGGGAGTAGTGATTGTGGAGATTTTGGCTAAATGCGCGGTTAGTCAAAATCTGTTTGAAACCCTTTTGCAAAACAATTGATTAGCTTAGTTGATTGCGAAAAATAGTTTATTATTTGTTGAGTGTTTTTTAATCGTATTAACTGCAAAAAAATCCTTTTAATGCATGATTAAAAAATATTTGGTGCAAATAATATAAGAAAATGATATGCATTTTGGAATAAAACAATTTAAATGATATAATAAATAATATTAATATTTACACATGGATAAGAAATAAATAATATTTACATAGTAAATAAAATAATAGTAAATATATAAAAAAGAAATTAATAGATAATAATTATAATAATAATATTAAAAAATATGATAATTATATTACTAATAATAATTATTATAAATAGAAAATAAATAATATGAGGGAAGATATAATTAAAAGTAAAAATAAAATAATTTAATTGTGATCTAGGGGTGTGTAAAAATTAGTTGGGCCTGGCCTATTCAGTAAATTGAGAGGGTCGGTTGGGTTACGTGGGTGAGGGAGCATCGAAGTTACGATGAGACTTGGCATATGATCGTCTGATCATGATCTAGCGGATGATAACGAGGGAGTATGATAATTAGGATATATGTGCATGTACTGGATTTGAACGGAACATGAGTTTGTTTTTATCTTTATATTTTATTCATTTGTTGCTTCAGTTCACGGCCTCTCTCTCTCTCTCTCCATCTCTCTCTCTCTCTCCTCTCTCTCCTCTCTCTCCTCTCTCTCTCTCTCTCTCTCTCTCTCTCCTCTCTCTCTCTCTCTCTCTCTCCTCTCCTCTCTCTCTCATCTCTCTCTCTCTCTCTCTCTCTCTCTCTCTCTCTCCTCTCTCTCTCTCTCTCTCTCTCTCTCTCTTCTCTTCTCTCTCTCTCTCTCTCTCGCCGCGAAAATAACAACCCTCTCTGTTTCACTCCCAAGCCCTAATATCCACCCACGGTGGCGGCTCAACCAAACCCTTTTCCTGAATCCCCAATCAACAATAAAAAAAGAAAAAAAAACAAGCTAAGTTACCCTCTGTAGCGATTATGATATTGTCTTGGATCCGGTACTAATCTCTTCCTTCTTTGATTTTTAGGTCTTGCGAGCGGTGGTTCCCCGGTATGAGAGGTTGAAGAGATGGTGTACGGCGGAAGCGGCTAAAACCGACGAAGCTTTTTGGAAATTTGGGGTTTGTGTGATTTTGTGCTACCACCATTACCGTTGCGGAATTTTCTTGTTGAGAAGAGTTTGAATATGTTTCTTTCTTTCTTTTTTCACCAAAGAGTTGAAAATAGGTTGACATGTTGAAACAGGATTAGGAGTAGTTTGTTTTTTTTTTGTTTTTGTTTTTTTTCTTAAAGTAAAATAAAGTCCAAATTTATTTTGATTACCCATCTCAATTGAGAATTGGGTCCACACACATTTAGGAGATTGGTCTATCTAATATTTATTGGGAATAATTTACCTCATAAAAACTTAATTTTACTTTCTTTGATAAGGTATGTTTATAGTCTAACATCCTTTTGAAGTA